CATTGTGATAGTGTGCGCGGTGGTTTTTGTTGTGTTTGCGCTGTGTCTGGTGTGTTTCCTGCGCAGGGATCTTCGCAGCAATGATAACGCGCCGAGGGACGCGCGGCGACCTGTGACGCTTATCTTCACGGACATCGAGAGCAGTACGGCACTGTGGGCGATGCTGCCGCAGCTGATGCCGAACATCGTGGCTATCCACCACAAGCTGATCCGTAATGTGATCGCGAGGCACGGGTGCTATGAGGTGAAGACTGTGGGCGACTCCTTCATGATCGCGTGCAGGGAGGCATACGCGGCCGTACAGGTTGCGTGCGAGATACAGCAAGTGCTGTTTAGGCACGACTGGGGAACCTATGAGGTGGACTATGTCTACCGTGAATTTGAGATGCGATGCCAGGAGGAGAACTCCGACTACAAGGCACCGACTGCGATGCTGCCCCACAGCGAGTACAGGGCGCTGTGGAACGGGCTACGCGTGCGTGTCGGCATCCACACTGGGCTACCTGATATCCGCTACGATGAGGTGACGAAGGGCTTCGATTACTACGGCGATACATCAAACATAGCGGCGCGCACGGAAGCGATTGGTAATGGCGGACAGGTACTATTGACGGAGTGGACGTGGTGGTCGTTATCGCACACGGAGCGCGCGTCCTTGCGGTGCACGGAATTGGGTCCACAGCGCCTACGTGGTTTAGAGCACCCTGTGGATGTGTATCAGCTGGACGGTTTGCCCGGTCGTCGGTATGCGGAGCTGCGCACGGAAATCGATGTGGAGTTACCAAGTGCAGATGACAGGAGTGAGGGGCCACTGAATGCCTCGAGCACTATACTCTTGTCGATTACAGAGTCGGCTCATAGTGCCGCGGCCGCTGTTGCGGCTGTGCTGACGAACTGCTTCAGCGCTTTCTCTGCTGCGGAGCGTGTGAAAGGGGTGCAGCCGTTGTTACAGCGGTGGAATATCCCTATTCCACAGATGACCCGCGGCATGACCGAGGAGGACCACTGCCGGGATTTGATTAACCGTCTTGCTGTGAGAATGTCGATGTTGGCGCAGCTGCGGCCCCGTTTCAATGATATGGGTGGCCTGGGCAACCCATTCAGTTCACGCACAAGCGCGGCACAGCAGCATGGCTGTTGGGCTGTGAGATCCCAAGTGGGCGATACTGCTGATGAGGACCGCATGGCTGTCAGCATCGGTTCAAACATGCATAAGCGTCCCCTACTGCAGTTCGGCGACAGTGTGGACAGCGTTGAGATCACCCTCCCCCTTGATTTGGCAGCAAAAACAGAGAGATAGGTAGTAATGGAACTGTGTTCGAGGATTTATCTTGCCTTATGCACCAACGGTTTTCTTTTTTTTCCATTCCCCGTTCATTTTTGTGTTGTGCTCTTTGACAGGTTTCCCCAGTAATCTCACCACACCGCATGGGTGGAATCCGAACGCAGTGTGTGTTCTTGAGTCAAGAGTCGGTTCAGATCGAGGATGGCAATGAGAAGCACACGAGAGGAGTGTCATGGTGTGTAGCGGTTATCTTATTATGCTTGTGTTGTTGTCTGGCGCGTGTACGGTCCTGCGATAACCGTCGCAAGCACCCCATGTCGTTGGTGCCTCGGCACTGACACAGACTTTCTGGACAGCGCAGCGGAGTGATCTGCTTGTGTGAGACAGACAGTTGTCAGGATTATTATTTCAGAATAGAAATACAAATATAAATGTCTATACTCATTGTGATAATCATACTTGGAATTTGTAAGCAAGCTTAGCTTAGTTTTGAGTGATTTTCCTTTTGTCAGCTTCACGGGTGTGTGATCCCTAGGGGTGGTGATGTAATATGTTATGCTTAACAGTGAATATTTTCTATTTTTCTTGTGGTATAATTCGTATTAGGTGTATATTTTCTTTTAAATTAATCTCCAAGTGTGATACACTTTTTCTTTGTTTGTACCTAAATATTTG